ATTTACATACAAATTCAACTTAAGAACAAAGCTACAGAACCTATCTTGTTTGTAACCCAGGGACTACCTGTACATAGTCTACATACTGCTTGATTATTCATTTTCTTTAAATGTGGAGTTCATTTTATGTTGTTTTCTAGGGATTTTCTTCCTCGTGGCTCTGGTATTGTGACAAGACGTCCATTGGTCCTCCAGCTCATCACTTCCAAAATAGGTAGAAAGTTTTCTTAATAAGATTGGGAATAAGATTTGGGGGGAAAAATCCTTTAAAACCTATGCATACATCAAAATGCTGGTAAACCGGGTTGGATTAAGATTTTAAGCACAACTCCGTAATGGTGTCCCTTTAGCCCTTCCATTGCTTAATTGGAAAGACATTGAAAAGGAATGTCACCTACCAAGGCAAACAATAACGGCTGATACTTGTAACTTCTGATCTTGGGAAACACATACGTACCAGCCCATGAAGTCCAGCGCTGTCTTCCATGCAGCTGATTCTTCTTGGGGCTTCTGTTCTTCCCATGTTTGCATGTGCATGATCCAGAGTTTAAGAAGACATGTATCTCAGGAGGCTTTGGTCAAGGAAGGTGGGGCAAACTGAGGGGACATCATTTTTGCCTTGGTGAGAAATGAGAAAATGGGAGTGAGTTCCACCAAAGAAGGTACTGCTTCCTCACCTTCTAAGTGTGATTGTTTTAGTGCCTGGGTGGAGGGAAGAGGATGATGGTGGGTGCAGTTTGGAAGTGGAGGTCCTCTTTGAGATTCATTAAGGACTAGGGGTCCTTGCACAATGCTCCATTGAAAAAAAAAAAGTGTTTTCACTGCATTTTTTTTGTGCATTTTTGATGCATGTTTGGTGTGTTTTCTGGATGCCTGACTCCAATCATGCACCTGTGAAGCATTAACATGTGTCTCAAAAAGTGCACCAAAAAAACAACCGCTGTGTGTTTTTGTTGCGTTTCTCTTTCATTTCAATAGTGAGGTGTGCTTTTGGTGCGCTTTTTAAACATGCACCAAAAATGCAGCACATTTAAAACTCTACTGCACCCGCAGCACTTTGATGTGAAGAGTTCTATAGGATTTAAAGTGATACTTTTCTCATGCAATTGTGTTCTGCTTTCTAAATACCAAAAAAACTGATCAGTATGAACGGGCCGTTAAGGTGAAGTCAAATTCAATTCAAGGCTAGACTGTAAACTATATTACATATATATTAATTTTTCATACTGAGTGACAATATTGATTTTGCTGCATACATGCTTGTATTGTTTTATTGCCATGTTACTGTATATAAAGATTTAAAAAAGATATAGCTTTTTTTTTCCATTTTTCTTTTTTATTTATTGAACACTTTTAGTATGCAGTAAGCAAATAAGCACATTTTATACACAATCTTAGTAATATTAATAGTAATATTTAATTACACCTTGAAGCCAAACAATTAGAGCTGAAACAACCAATCACCATAATCGATTATTATCGATAGTGAAAATAGTGAAACTATTTTCATAATTGATTAGTTGGTCAGCCGATTAGTTGGCCTGCATTATTTGTTTACATCTCAGAAAATACAGTGCAGCACACATACAGCTCAGTACACCTCTCATGCATGTCAGTATACACAGTGCAGCACATATACAGCTCAGTACACCACTCATACATGTCAGTATACAGAATGCAGCCCACATATAGCTCATTACACCGCACATACATGTCAGTATACACAATGCAGCACATATACAGCTCAGTATACCGATCATACATGTCAGTATACACAATGCAGCACATATACAGCTCAGTATACTGCTCATACATGTCAGTATACACAGTGCAGCACATATACAGCTCAGTACACCGCTCATACATGTCAGTATACACAGTGCAGCACATATACAGCTCAGTACACCGCTCATACATGTCAGTATACACAATGCAGCACACATACAGCTCAGTATACTGCTCATACATGTCAGTATAAACAGTGCAGCACATATACAGCTCAGTACACCGCTCATACATGTCAGTATACACAGTGCAGCACATATACAGCTCAGTACACCGCTCATACATGTCAGTATACACAGTGCAGCACATATACAGCTCAGTACCCCATTCATACAAGTCAGTGCCTGAAAACTGTGAATGTTTGAGGAGCAATGCCTTATGGGACATCTAGTCCTGGGCAGGATAAGGAAGTGATTTAAAGTGATTCTAAAGGCAGAAGGTTTTTTAATTTGCTATAGGGGCACTCTAAACTATACTTTGCGGCTTAGTATAAGGGCACTCTGAAGGCAGGAGGAGACAAAAGCACTGGTGGGGGGCCCCAGAAGAGAATTGGGGCTGCTCTGTGCAAAAGCATTGCACAGAGCAGGTAAGTATGACAAGTTTGTCGTTTAAAAAAAAATCCATAGTTTCCAATCATTTTAAGGGCTTTGTGCAGGGAAGAGCAGCATCTGAACCCAGAGAAGCTGGAGGCTGATAGGCTGGAGGTAATATAAGGCATTACAATTACATTTTAAAATAAAAGTTTACCAGTATTGTGCATGATATTTAAAATGATTTTATGTATGAAAAAAAGTCTGTCTTTAGTGCTACTTTAATATAAAAGATTTTCATCCCCCCCCACCCTTCATGTAGCTTCATGTCTGACTCCTAGTTAAAATACCCTGTATATCCTACTTCTGGGTATATATATATATATATATATATATATATATATATATATATAACTTTCACTGTTTCTCAATATTAATTAACCTCTTATATTAGTGATTCTCTGCTGTTTTTGTACTATAAAGAGCTATTTTTTGTTTTTTTAACTCCCATCGTGATAGGTGATAAAAAAAAGCATGCTGCTGCTGCTACTAAATCTGATTTTCAGACAAGAATATAAATACAAAAATCCTTTGTACATTTGATGAATGGACAAATGTCGTTCTAAAATTTCAATTGCTTTTAATATTCATTTTTAAAATTAATGTAATTTCTAAATGAAAATCACGTACACTGTCCGACAATTCTTTCCATCCAAAAAAGTTTTTTATTTTGCTCCTTTGAATTTTCCCGTCACTGTGGTAGAAAATGAATGTCGATTTGACGCCACTAACAATTAGAAAATCGTACAAACATTCTTAAAACAAAAATTTTTGAACAAAAAATGTGTTTGGACAGCATAAGTGAAAGCAGGAGCAAGCAGCTTGTATCAAGCTGTCTGCTTATGACAAGGGAGCCTGTCATGCTTAATATTATAATACAGTCTTGTCTGAAAATCTGCAAAAATGTTGTTCTTGAAGTCTGATGCTATGTACCAGATTCATCCTCTAATAGTATATATATCTCTTCTATTCTCAGAATGGATTACATATTTTGTTCCTAATCATATAGTTGGTTATTTTTATTTATCACTGCATATAGATATTCAAAAATAAATTGCTTTACATATTAACCAAATTATACACTAGACTTTTTGAAGTTTTTAATCGAAACAATAATCGGCCAACTAATCATTGAAAATGTATAAATAATCATTAGTTGCAGCCCTACAAACGATTAACATTTTTCACCTTTTTTTTGTCACATTTTTTTTAGCAATATACAATGAAGGTCAAAACATCAGATGACAGTTATAAAAAAAAAAAAAAAAATTAAAGTAGCACTAAATGCAAAACCTTTTTTTTTTTACTTTCAAACATTTTTATTGATATGTAAAGGAAATACTGTAATAACAACGTTACAGAATTGCTTATACATCAGCAATATGTACTAAAAAAGGGTGCTAACTGGAAAAAATAAAGTAGACATGGGAGCAGAGCCAATTCAACAGTATTAATCCTACCCAGCCAAGATAGATTATGAAGAGAGCATTGTTAAGGTCAGCTTCCAACTTCTTGATCGGGTTGAACTTGTATTGCAGTTTAACGGTGCAGGTATGTTGAATGCCTAAATATGGGATGTGGGAATCATTCCATTTAAAGAGGAAATGTTCTTTAAGGTGATCTACTAGAACAGGAGGCACAGTTACACTCGGGGCCATGGATTTTGATGGGTTTGAAGGTCTGTAATTAATGCACATTTTTGATTTGAGAACTGCAACACACCCCATATATGTCTGGATCGGTCCCGATGGTGACTGTGAGGTTCTCTATAGCTATAGCAAAGATTAAGCTAAGATTAATGCCCAGCCCTATCTCGTACCACGGGCAATCAGTATTGGCTGAGACATAAACTCTTGCATTCATACCTGAGCCAGCAGTGTGGAGTATAGGGTATGCGGAATCCCTAGGAGACAAGGCCCACATCTGCAGCATTCAAGAACTGTAAATAGATAAGACCAAGAGATCTCGTCAAATGCTTTTTGAAGATCTATAGACAATAAAAATTCCTCCTTACAGGACCCCTGGGCTGAATCAGGTTTTTCTGGCATCTGTGTCCCATTCTAACCCTTCTCCAAACTATCCAAAAAAGGTTTTGGATTTAGTTAATCTTTAACCTCCCTAGCGGTCTGATTATGTCCATATTTCTGTGCTCAAAGCGGTACATTTTTGTTGCATGGAAATATGTATTTTTTTTATTGTAGGCCTGTGATTTTTAGGAATAACTCAGTGAAATCTGTCCGAACAAGAGTCTAGTAAACATCCCGGATATGAGAAAACTTGAAACACGAAATCATAAATTATAATTTAATAAATAATTATAAAAAATAATATAATCAATAATATAATCAAACCAAAAACACTGAAATTTGAAATATAGCGCCAAGTTCGCACATCACTGAGCTTAGTCGCAAAATCGTTTTCAGTGTCTGATGACGAATTTCCCCACGAATCATTATCACTCAATTCTACAAGTAGTTCTAATTTACTATCGTTGTTCTCTAGCTGGTCTAAAACCGCTTTTGACCTAAAGGGATGCTTTTTGGACTCCATGGAGATTTCTCAGTTTCCAGGCAGAAAGAATAGTAAAAATGCAGGCAGGGCACAGGACAAAGCACTAGGGATAAAATGTATGTGAAATGCTTTGATACAGTAATGTTATACTATGTGATTTTAGTGAATGTCACTTTTTTGTCATTTTCAAATTTCCCGCCATTCCATCCCCCGTACGTCCTGACAGTGAGGGTTTGTGGTAAAGCTTATTTACTGCTTATTAGGAATATGTTAATATTGGAATGTCCAAAGCCCAGAAACACTCATATTTTAACACTTTTACAAAGTTATTTGTTTTTGTTAACAGCATCTGACAGCTGAAATGGCTATATTACATTTTCATTTCAGTATACAGTACATGTATACAGAGATATACATATTGGTAACTACATTTTGTACATGAAGACCTCCACAATTAGGCGCAGCTAATTAAGGCTATGTTCAGATTAGAATTTAGGAACAAAGCATAATTTATTTTTTTGCTTTAATCCATGATATGTAAGATAAATCAAAATGTTACTAACAACTCATTTCATTGTCCTTCTTACAGAATATGCTGAGTTCCTACATTGTAAAGGAAAAAGGTTTTCAGATTTTGATGAGGTTCGCCTAGAAATTGAAGCAGAAACAGATCGAACAACTGGTACAAATAAAGGAATTTCATCCATTCCTATCAATCTGAGGATATATTCACCAAATGGTATGTGTATTTAATATAGGTATTTTAGTTGGAGTAATCTGGTAAAACATTAGCTAACAAATTTTTGTTCAATACAATATACATTTTTCTGTAGCGTTGTATACCTTTTAGGCAAAAGCAGTCCCAACTTTATACATTGCAAGGATTTTCCCAACTTTTCTATAAGTTGACCTTATGTTCTTTCTCACCCTGATTCCTGTATGGAATGATCTGTCTTCATTTTAATCACCTAATCAATTTGTTGTTATAAAGTACAGCTTATTAATTGGCATCCCTTTAGGTGAGGATGAGCCCTAAAGCGTATCTACAACCAAAACTGTAGTATAGTGCAGATTATCACTCCTCAGATATGGTTTCTGCATTCATTTTCTGTATTTAGATTTTTTTTTTTACTTTGTTTGTCTCAATTCTCTGTCATTTTTGCTGGACAGCTTGGTCTGTTAAAGGAAGTTAAAAAATAACAGCAGGGTCAGCAGGTAAAAAAAAAAAAAGTTACAGGTGGAACAAAAACTGGTTTGTTAAAGTGGAACTAAACAAAGCAATACCTACTCTGCTCCAACAGTTTGACGCCATCATATTCTACCTGCTTCTTTTGGGTGCCGCTGTTCAGCCATTTTCCTAGGCTGGTGCTGGAAGACGTCACTGCATGGGAGCCATTTATCCTTGCACACTGACACATTGCATGTCACTTCTGCAGTAGCCTCCCTAGTGGTCTGATAATTTTAGTATTTCTGTGCTCAAAGCAATACATTTTTTTGCATGGAAATTTGTATTTTTTTTATTGTAGGCCTATAATTCTTAGGAATAACTCTGAAATATGTCCGATCAAGAGTCTAGTAAACATCCCGGGTATGTTAAAATTTGAAACACAAAATCATAAATTACAATTTAATAAATATTCATAAAAAATAATATAACAATAAATTTAATTCAATAATATAATCAAACTAAAAACACTGAAATTTGAAATATAGCGCCAAGTTCGCACATCACTGAGCAAAGTCGAAAAATCGTTTTCAGTGTCTGATGACGAATTTCCCCACGAATCATTATCACTCAATTCTGCAAGTAGTTTTGATTTACTATCGCTGTTCTCTAGCTGGTCTAAAACCGATTTTGACCTAAAGGGACGCTTTTTGGACGCCATGGACATTTCTCAGTTTCCAGGCAGAAAGAACAGTAAAAATGCAGGCAGGGCACAGGACAAAGCACTCGGGACAAAATGTGTGTGAAATGCTTTGATACAGTAATGTTTTACTCTGTGATTTTAGTGTATTTAGTGAATGTCACTTTTTCACATTTTTTTAAAATTTCCTACCGTTCCGTGCCTGTACGTCCTGACGTCGCAGGGAACGGAACCCAGAAGACGGATGCCGGCATCGGCCGGAGGACATTGCCGTGGAACACTGCAGGAGGCACATCGCGGGAGCGCAGGACAAGGTAAGTGAAGAAGAGATCCCGGAGCAGCGCTGCATAGTATTCCCAGGTGTAGCTCTGGGTTACTGCTTGTGGTACTGAAACTTTACCCCGAGCTACACTCGGAAATACCATCAGGGAGGTTAAAGAACCTTGTTGTTGGCAAAAAAATAAAAGTTGCATTTATTTATTTCAGGTACTTATATAGCGCCATCAATTTTACGCAGCGCTTTACATATATATTGTACATTCACATCAGTCCCTAACCCTCAAGAGGCGTACGATCTAAGGTCCCTAACTTACATTCATATACTAGGGCCAATTTAGACAGGAGTTAATTAACCTACCAGCATGTCTTTGGAGTGTGGGAGGAAACCGGAGTACCCGGAGGAAACCCACAGAGTCACGTGATTTTCCCTTTAGTTCCATTTTAAGAACAGTCTCATAAAAAAAACCCTGCTTTAGGGGAATCTTGCTATTTGAATTTTATCAAGAAATGGGAGAACCAATCATGCTAGTAGGAAATGCTTTTCTATGTTTGTGTTTCTGTATAAAAACAGTGTGCTGTATGCCCTAAGTTTTCATATTGCCAGTGTCAAATTACTTAGAATATGTGTTTTTTATATATATATATATATATATATATATATATATATATATATATATATATATATATTATTATTATTATTATATTTTTTTTATTTATTTATTTATTATGAAACATGAGTTTTTTCCTTTGAGTAAGAAATCAAATGTTTGTAATGAGTTAAAGGCATTCTGTGTCGTTACGCAATATTTTGCCACTTTATATGTTTTTCTGTAGTTTTTCTTTTTATATTAATTTTTATGGCTTCATGCATTATTCTTGCAGTGTTGAATCTGCCCTTGTTGATTTACCTGGCATCACAAAAGTGCCTGTTGGTGACCAGCCTGCAGATATTGAATCTCAGATTCGAGAAATGATTATGCAGTTTATCTCTCGTGATAATTGCCTTATACTTGCTGTGACACCTGCAAACACAGACCTTGCCAATTCAGATGCCTTAAAACTTTCTAAAGAAGTAGACCCTCAAGGTATGAATTTTTATTTTCTTCTAATGTTATTTCCCTGGTGTTAACACATCTCCATTGCCCAGAGAAGTACAGAGAAGCCCAATATATCTTCAGGACCGGGAGAGGTTTATGTGACCCAGTTCACTAATTTCTACCAGTCTTCAATCTACCCAATTTTCTTTTTTCCCTTCCTCTTTTTCTCTTCTTTCTTTATGTTGCTCTCTTTGTATTTCCTGCTCTTTTTTTCTTGTCTTTTTCCTTTCTTGCTTTAGTTCAGCAGGCATGAGAGTTCTCCTGTTCTGCATGCCATTTTTTTAAAGTTTGAATCTCACAAAATATATATGGAATCTTGCATCCCTTATCACCCTTCTATTCTGAATGGGCTGTGCTACTCCTCTTTAGTCACTAGATGGTGATGTGCTTATAAGACGTATACAGTATGACCATCAGCACTAGTAGGTGCTTAGGATGGAGGAGTTTATGTAACTAAAATGAGTTAAATAGTAAAAACTAGTTTTTGTGGTTGTCAAATATTTCTGCAGGACCTCATTTTCATAGTCAGAAAAATTGCTTTGCATATACTGTATATAGCATGGTCATGCAAATTGTATAAGGTGTGTATGGACCTATTTATTCTTAAAGTGAAGTTCCAGCTGAAAAAAAAAAGACAGCAGCTACAACAACTGTAGCTGCTGACTTTTAAAATACAGCCACTTACCTGTCCCTCAGTCCAGCGGTGTCCTCACCACCGCTGGTTTCACTGGCCATCTTCTGTCTCTGGCGCCCGCTGTGACAGCTTTGTGAATGGCCCCGTAGTCTTCTGGGACCTGTCACGTGTCCCAGAAGACTACGGGGAGGGCAACTTCCACTTCCAAATGCCTAGGCGATGGAAGTGGGAGAGGGTACCTGTCAAATCTGGGTACCCGCTTCCCCCCCACTTCCCAAAGGTGCCAAACCTTAATGGGGAGCACGGGACAATGCATTAAAGTGGAACTTCCCCTTTTGGGTGGAACTCCGCTTAAAATTTGCTTAAAGCTGAACCAAATCCTCCAATTCATTACAGCCAAAGAAGCTGCCATCGTAGACTCTGTTAGATCTGCAGTTGGTATGGTGCTGCACATGTGATCAATTATGACACCAGCCATTTCAAGTCTGAGAGCACAGGCAACTGTGACAGTTATCCTTCATTGCATGCCTTGAATGTAACTGTTTTAGGAAACAGTTAAATTTCTGGGTTTAAATTGGTATTAAACCCAAAAGCAAACATTTATTATACTGTAGCTTACAACTTTTTAGATGTAGTGGCTGCACTAGTTTTATTGTTTAGGCTTTCCTTTTTCTTATTTTCACCTGGTGATTTGGTCAGTAAGTCTGTTGTTTTTCCAACAGAACAAGCTCTCTTGCAAATATATCAGTTAAGACTGTTGAGACAAACCATTTACTACTGACAGGGGTGCTTACAATGGTCAGCTTTTATTCATTTACATAAAACCTTTTTCCCAAAAGGAAACGAATTCTAGCTGTAACTGCAGTGCTGGAGTTTGGTTTCGGTTTGTTAGTGTATCTAAATGTGCTAGTCCATCTAACGCTCTCCTTAACCCTGACAGTGCTGCTGTCCAAAAGTGCCCCCTGTGCTCCTTCATTCAGAGACGGGGAATATAATGGGGTGTTACTGGCCAGATCACCATGTGAAAACACAGGAAAAAAAAACTAATGCAGCCACCATATCTAATTATTGGTAAGCTGCAATATATTACATTTTTAGTTGTGGTTTAATAATTCTTTAGGTTCTTATGCCTCACATTCCTTTCCAATGTTACATGAATGGCAGGTAGCAATCCCATGAGAGTGAGAGTATGAAAAGGATGTTACCAAATGTTAACTTCTCTACACTGTAGACTTTTTCACAGAAAATAGTGGTTTCTTTTTTTTTTTTTTTTGGTGTGATATTCTGTTTCCTGGGAGATGGTGAATTTAGAAATGAATGAAGTTGCTGCTTCATAGTAGAACAAGAAGCATTTTGTCTGCTTCCTCTAGGCATCGGCAGTGATTTCAGAGATGTCATTTACATTCACACACTGTGCTTTTGACCTGAAGTTGGAAATGGTCTTGGCAAACACTCACATGTTGATTCTCTGTGTATCATGGAAGATACTTTATCTGTTATTTTATATACAATTCTGTTAGTCAGGAGACCCCTGTCCACACATTGAAAGAATTTACTATGACACCTCTTTTTATATATTACAGGGGACCCCTGTCCACACATTGAAAGAATTTACTATGACACCTCTTTTTATATATTACAGGGGACCCCTGCCCACACATTGAAAGAATTTACTATGACACCTCTTTTTATATATTACAGGGGACCCCTGTCCACACATTGAAAGAATTTACTATGACACCTCTTTTTATATCTTACAGGGGATATTTTGTCACAATGCAACAGCCAACGTTTTCTTAAAATTTGAGATGAAGTTTTGCATATACTAAGCTGGGCTTGACAAGATTTGTTTAGTTTTGGAAAGAGTTTGGGAAAATTTAATTTTCTGCCCCCTTCCGGGTAGATTTTCCCAAGCTTTGTGTCCCCATGTACAAGAAATGGGGAGGGCTACTGATTCTTTTATATCCCCATTCTCCCCAATGAGGATAGAGCTGGAAAATTAACACCATTTTTAAAAATGTATGAGGGGTGTTCAAGTTAAACTGGGACTTTTGAGTTTATATATTAAAAGAACAAATTTTAAGGAGTGGAAACTGCATTTGATTTTCTACATACTCCCCTGCTACATTTATACACTTTCCCCAGCGTTTACGACATAAAACGATTTGTACGCCTGAACCGTTCTAGGATAGCATACTTCACTTCATCATTGTGTTCACTGTTTCCAGAGAAAGATTTGTCTCTTGTGTAATTTCATGACAGGTTATGCGTTGATTATCCAGGATAAGACTTTTGATGTGCTGAATGTTCACAGGAGTGACTGCTGTGGGCTGGGAACCACCACAGCTGGGATCGTCACTGATGGACGTACAGCCATCTTTGAAACGTTTACACCATTCAAATGTCTTACTGCGGCTGAGCGTCTCATCACCGTACTGGTTTTATGCCTTCATTCACAAGAAACGTAATCACCACACACTGTTCCATGCACGCACTAACATGGTTGTCTGCCATCTTGATTAAAGATCTCTGGACTGGCCCGCGACATGTGCGCCGTCTATTAGTAATAGGACACACTTGCCAGTGTGTAGTACCGTCACGCTAGCATTCCTTTTTATACCTGTAAAATTAAAAGTCCCAGTTTGACTTGAACATCCCTTGTATTTTATAGTTTGGCCTACTTTGTGGGTTTTGATTATATACAGTGAAGGAAATAAGTATTTGATCTCCTGCTGATTTTGAATGTTTGCCCACTCACAAATCTAAAAATCGAATGGTAGGTGTATTGTAACACTGAGAGACAGAATAGCAAAAAAAATTGACAGCAGCGGGAGCCAATGGCTCCCACTACTGTGTGTTAACCAAGGAGGAGGAAGAAATGCGGGAGAGCTTCTGCTCTCATGCACATCGCTGGATTGAAATTGGGCTCAGGTAACTATTAGGGTGCTTAGGGGGGAGCTGCACACAGGTTCGTTACCTTCATGCAGGAAGGTAAAAAAAACCTTCAGCCTTTAGAACAGCTTTAAGGAGCTTCATCGCACTTCTTAAAGCAGACCTTCACATTCATTTGATAAATTCCTTGAAGTGTTACAAAACCTACAACAGTAAAATCAGTCTGTATATGCAGTAAAGCATGCTTGTTATACTCACTGTGGAACCTAAGGGGTTAATCCTCTGCATTGTGTAAAAAAATGCTGTTTGATCCTCTCTTCTCTGATCCTTAACTTCTTCCATTGCCCCCCTCTTATCTGCTGATCAGACATATCGTGTGGAGTCACTCTGCACATGCTCAGTTTGGTGTGTATTTGCTAGAGAGGTTTTCTTTTTCTTGGGAGTGTGCATGTGATCAGGACAGGACCAATCAGCACTTGTATCTTAAATGACCTTGGAAGCAGGCAGCGGTCTTCGAGGATGTGGGCATCTGAAGCCCACTCCTGTGTATTTTTGGGATTCGGTGCAGTTAGCAACACAGCATGCACCTCCCGATCTCACCTAATGATGAAATTGCCTAGAAGGCCAGGACTGGAAGTGCTACCTACATATATTAAAAAAAGGTATTTAGAAATGCCCCGCCAAAAAAAGAAAAAAATATCCATTTAGGACTGTATTTCGGATGGGCTTTGGGATCAGAGGAACATGTGAAAATTGGTGGAACTCTGCTTTAAGCTTCCCTATTTCTTGCCCAGGTGAGAATGATGTCGCTGGTACTGCCCGCTGACATGAGACTCATGGGATATGAACATGGCAATCACCAAGCTCTGTGCTGAGAATTGTATTATTTACACCTTGCTGGTACCATGAAAATGTGTCAAGAATTTGATCCCCCAGCTAGAGCTTCAAATTCTCTCACGTAGGACTACGAGTGCACAGTCAACACCAATCCAGCACATGTGCACCCGTAGAATCATAATATTTCCACTGTTCCGGCACTATAGAGACGTGTAAACAATGTGTACAGGTGCAAGATCTTCTAGAGCAGGGGTCCTCAAACTACAGCCCACCAAAGTTGTTTACCTGGCCCACCAGGCTGGCTGAAAAAAAAAAAAAAAAAAAAAAACGGCGCTGGCAAATAGCTAGGCTGCACACTGGTTCCTTGGCTATGAGGATCCAGTGAGCGGCAGCCTGGTGAAAAATCACCCTTTGACTTCAGGCTGATTTCTCTGCAGCCAGAGGAGCAACAGGAGAGAAGGAGGAGAACACACCAGGTACAGTGCGTTACAGTGTACAGTGTTTTACAGTGTACAGTACACTTTGTCCAGTTTGCGGTGTCCAGTGCGTTACAGAGTACAGTGCATTTTGGTGTCCAGTACTTTACAGTGTACAGTACATTGCGGTGTCCAGTGCGTTACAGTGTACAGTACATTGCGGTGTCCAGTGCGTTACAGTGTACAGTACATTGTGGTGTCCAGTGCATTACAGTGTACAGTACATTTTGGTGTCCAGTACGTTACAGTGTACAGTGCATTTTGGTGCCCAGTACGTTAGTGTACAGTACATTGCGGTGTCCAGTACGTTACAGTGTACAGTGCATTTTGGTGTCCAGTACGTTAGTGTACAGTACATTGCGGTGTCCAGTGCGTTACAGTGTACAGTACATTGCGGTGTCCAGTACGTTACAGTGTACAGTACATTGCGGTGTCCAGTGCGTTACAGTGTACAGTACATTTTTTGTGTCCAGTACGTTACAGTGTACAGTGCATTTTGGTGTCCAGTACGTTACAGTGTACAGTGCATTGCGGTGTCCAGTGCGTTACAGTGTACAGTGCATTTTGGTGTCCAGTACGTTAGTGTACAGTGCATTTTGGTGTCCAGTACGTTACAGTGTACAGTATATTGCGGTGTCCAGTGCATTACAGTGTACAGTACATTGCGGTGTCCAGTGTGTTACAGTGTACAGTGCATTTTAAATATTTTATTGTTTTTTCCTGTTTTTTTGCACTACAAATAAGATATGTGTGGTGTGCATAGGAATTTGTTCATGTTTTTTCAAACTATAGTCCAGCCTCCCAACAGTGTGAAGGTCAGTGAACTGGCCCCCTGTTTAAAAAGTTTGAGGACCCCTGTTCTAGAGTGTCAAATATTACCTGGAAGAAAAGGTGCAGATACTTATGTCTCTGTATTTCTTGGTAAAAGCACCAATAAAATGTTGTAAAAATAGATATTTTGAGTCTGTATTGAAAATGGTCGTCCTTTTTGTATTCTCTGCTCTTATTGCAAATGGTCCCCAGGATATGACCAAGTAATAGGAAAGCTAAAAAGTATCCATGAAAACAATAACATGCTTTTAACAGTAAAGATCTCTT